TAAAGAGTTATATCCTTAGACTAAATGTTAGATATCCTGATTTAAGATTTGACCAAGTAAGGGAAGCCTAAGCGTGTGTGACGGAAGTGGTGACATGAAAGCAGTGGACTCTTGACTGCTTAGCACTATTTGCCCTCCACCGGCCGCTATTCCTCCCCATCAAGCTCCCAGGGCAAATTTTTGTGTATACCAGCAGTGTGTGTCTTTATAATTTACAACCTCTCATTTCCTCTTTCTTTTCACAACTTCCTGTTGAACCATGACTCATATGCTAGTTAAAAATCAGAATATTAATTTTCAAATTGCCTAACCTACCCTTGGGAAAGATGCTGTGGATTATGCTTGATGGGAAGACACTCTCATCTTTCTGGCTTGGGCTGTGTGTTTTTCATGCCATGTGGAGCAGGGGCAGAACCAAAATGGGTCTGCAGCCAAAATGTGGGGATGGTCAGAACACAGAGGACCTGAAGAACCAGAGCCACTTGTCTGCTGCAACTTTGAGGATGGAGAGAGAGCTGCTCCAGTCCCTTCTGCTCTTCTTCAGAAAGAAAGGAAGGGGCCATCACTTGGGAGAGGTTATGTGCCTTTGAGGTGGGGACAGGATCATTTAATAAGGAATAGCATGCCCCTGATTATGGAAGGGAGGGATTGGCCTGTCAGTAATTAAATAGTTTTTTTTGTTGTTGTTGTTTTTTAAATCTGGTCTTGCACAAGGATTCCAGGTAAAGGTTGTCAGTAGTACTTCAGGGACACATGAATTGCTTCAACCCATGAAAACAGGGTGGAGGACATTAGGGTTCTTTCTCTCATCTGTTCATCTGATTTCCTAAGCTCTTAAATTTTTGATTTGGAGAATTTCTTCTAAACCCTTGTCCTCTTGCCTTCTCTCCCCTTCTCTTCAAAGCTTTTTTGTCTCTTTATAACTATTTCTTCTCCACAAACTCTTGGGTCCTCTGCTTAGGCTGCTGGATTTGGTGGTGGGGTGGGGAGTGACCTCAGGATGCATTATATCTAAAAGCTAGCAAGACCTTTAACACTGTGAGGAGTGACCTGCTCACTCTGGTTGGCTTTTCCCCATAGGAATGGCTAAGCTACCTATTTTGAATTGTATAACAACAGACTTCTGGAATGCATATCTTGGAAGGGGATGAGGGGTTTGGAGTGGTAGAAAAAGCCCAACTTGTTATATTTCATTTTATATTGGCAATAGGTATTAGTTGCATTTTCAAAGGCCAAGAAATAATACAATCCACACACACACAAATAAAACAGCTCTGTGACAGCTTTAAGCTTCTCTTTAGAGGAAGGAGAATAAAGTTGGCTTATACCTCTGTACCACATTAGCAGTGATCCAGGTGAAATAGACTTTTCTCTGTGGTAGGTGGAGGTTGGTGGTAAATAAATAGTGGTGAAACAGGTAGGCCCAGTCTTAACTTTACTCCAGCTCCCACTTGCTGACACCCAGTCCATGGAAGTGTATGATATAGAGAAGCCATAGGATGTGGCGTGGTCGCCAGGAGCTCGAATCTCTCGATCCCGTCCATAGTGAGGACCTTGCGGCTGAGGGGCACTTGGCCACAGCGCTCAACTGTCTCTAGGTATCTGTTTACTTACCTGCCCTTTACTTTTCTCCTTTCTTTGTAGCCTTTATCTTTTCATTTGCTTGATGGTCTCTTCTTGCACTTACCCTGACTCCACCTTCCTGCTTCTCCCCACCTGGAAACATGAATTACGTTTCATTAACCTTTTGGAAGTGTAAGGTTGATTTGACCACAGGTTCATTGCCCATTGAACCAAATCTGCTAGGGCCAGCTGAGTGGAAGTCACACGTTGGTTTGTGGGGCTCACTTTCTCCAGGCACCCTTTAGAGGTATCACTACTTCTTGTGTTTTGTTTAGTATCAGAAGAATTCATAGACGATTAAAAAGAAACACTGAAAATAATAAGGAAAACTTCCTCCTTAATTCCACCATGGTAACTCAGATGTCTTTTTTCCTTAATGCTTTATTTTTAAGATGTAATTTCCTTGTCTGTGTGTGTCCTTTATATTGTGTGGTGTTTTTTTTTTTGTTGTTTTTTTTTTTAAATTTAAATTCTTCATCGTTGAAAGTATAAACATATATCTCCTTTTCCCCCATTGACCTATCCCGCCTGCACCCACCACCCCCCAGTCTACTTTTTTGAGCTGTGGATTTCCGGAAGCTTCTTCATAAACTGAATTGGCTGCAAAACAATTCAGGTTCTGTCTGTTTCAAAGGAGATTGAAAGTACTTGGTCGAACAAGGCCAGTCTTTTAGGTTGCTGTCCAGAAGCGAGCTGACCCATTTTCTAAAACTCATCTGTTCACTGAGGTGTTTCTGTTAATGGTTGTCTTTGAGTGAGTGAGTGAGTGAGTGAGTGTCTGTGTGTGTGTGTGTGTGTGTGTGTGTGTGTGTGTGTGTGTGTGTTACTAGGGAAGACTTTTTGTGTGTGGTCTTTGTACATATTTTAATTCTATAGTATCTTGAAGTCATTTCTAGCCCAGTGTCTATTCCAGCATGACTAAGAATTCTTTTTCCTCTCTGTATCTAGCTTCTTAATTAAGAAAACTACCACTCAGATTGATATCAGTACTACATGAGACTATTAACATAAAGTGCATTATACAATTTCGAGCACTGTACCGCTGTATGATATTCTTAACATTCTTTAAAAGATTTGCCATCCTGGACATTAAAGGATTTGCCTTTAAAAAGAAACTGAAGGCAATCTGCAATGATAATCAACATTGTTTTGAAGACCTACATGAAGCGTCTACATCATCTTAGGCTCTGTGAGAGCAAAGAAAAAAAATCTATTCATAATATTTACTGAGAAGTTTATATGTGACCTAATATTTCCCTCAGTATTGTCTGAGTTTTTTAGTCTTGTCTTTAACACAGGACCAACAAACATGAAAATGACCTAAGAACACATGGAGGGGCAAGGAGAAGGATCCATAATTAGTTTAGTGCAATCTGTCTACCCACATTCTGAGGGAATGGGGATTGTGGCATCATTGGAGCTGGGTGGGATTTCCTTGGGGAAATTATTCCAAGAATTCTTGTCTGTTTATTATTATCTTTGTGTGCCCACCTTTCCTGTGTTGATGCCAGTGTGTACATTTGAATGGAATTCTGACATCAGGCATTTCTACAAGGCTTTTGGACAAACTTCCCAGTTACTTGCTGGGCCATAGCTTTTAAGTGAATCAACAAATACATATATTTAAAGGGAAATAACATTTATGAAGTTGTTTAGGTGTTTAGATGTCTTTTAGCTACGAAGTGAAATTCCAGGGACTCTCCCATGTTGTACATCATTGTTAAAAATGGTATTGCTATGACTGAATGGGGTATTTTCTTTGGAATCTATGTGTCTCAAATAGCCAGGGAGTGGCCTGCAATTTTCTGTCTCTGTCTTACTTATAAAAGGAACTCCATAATATTATGCTCACAGAATAGTAAATGTGCAGAGTAGAAGTTTATCTTTTGAAAATCTAAACTGTAAAATTATTTCTTAATGATGAAAGATATTAATATCTTTGACCTCTCTGTGTCCTTGACTCTGTCAGCAGTTGTGCCCGGCCCCCTAACCATTCTCCAACAGAGCAAGGATGATTGCTAACAACTAGAGGTGATTATGGCGAGCCAGTGGGATTATGAGTCCCTTTTCCTATTGAACATTTTCTATATTGTTATTATAATTAAAAAGAATAGATTTTTTAAAGCACTGTAGTTCCATTCAAACTTCCAATTCCAGTGTTAACGGAAAGGTTTAGATAGATAAATGCTTCATAGATGCAATCTGAAAAAAAATACAGTAACAAGGTGATTATAAGGAACCTTATAGTGTTTATTCTCCTCTCAAATCCAACCATAAAATATTTTTCAATATTTCAAAGTGGCTACAAGTCTAGTTAAGTAGTCAAAGATATTTTATTTATTATTTGCCTTAATGTTTGACAAATTAAGAACCCTGGAATCATACTGTTAGGTCTGATCAAATAATTGAATCAATTCCCTCTCCCCTAGGAACTGACCTTTAGACCACTTCACTGGATGTGCCCTTTTCCTTAGACCATCTTCCACTTGCTAAGACCATTATCTTTCCCTCAGGACCCACCCAGAGAATTTCTCTACCATCTTGGCCTCGTGTGTTCCTCCCTCGGCAACCCTAACACATACAATAACTGTTTTACCCTAAAATTTAATTCAAGCAAATTAAAAAACCTACCTAATGAACCAACAGCATGGATAAAAGCGTGGACCCTTATTCCATTTGAGGGGGAGCTGGATCGTCTGGTTCACTTGGCCCTTGGAAAACTGACCCCCTGATTTGCCTGATGGGATACTTCCTCCCAAGGACTTCTGTGGAAGATCTGTTATCTGTTTGTCCTAACAATGATCCAGTCAGGCTCCAGCAAATGCCTTGTCATTCCTTTAGGTTTTGTGGGCAGCAGGCAAGGCATTGAGGTCAAGGAACACAGTAGGTGCTGCTCACATACTAGTCCTTTCCCTTCCTAAGGAAGTCAAAGTCTGAACTAGAAACTCTTATATAACTGACTTCTCTGGCAGTGCCCAGACCTAATAAGTACTCAGAAAAAAGTTAGAGTGAATTAGTGCTCTTGTTTCTATGTATCTGCGTTCTCTCCGAGCATATAATATGCAGCTTTTCCTTGGCCACTTATATGCTCAGTATCCGTGGCCTAAAGACTCTTGACTTGACTCTGTAGACCTGCACCGTCCAATATGGTAGCCACTAACCATATATGGCTGTTTACCTTTAAATTTCGTTAAAGTTCCATAGAATCGATTCCGTTCCCCTTTGCACTAGCTACATTTCTATGCTCAGTAGCTACCTGTGGCCATAGTGGCCATGGAGCATTACCATCACAGCAGAAAGTCAGTCTCATTGGACACCAGACTGCTCTGTGCCTTTCTGGGCACCAGCTTATGGATCTCCATTATCTGTGTTTGCAGGGCAGCTGCCTGCTTCAGGAAGGGAGGTCTATGGGAACAAGGAGAATCTTCAAGGACAGCCTCGCATTGTGACATGCCTGATCCCTCACTTCAGGCCCTGCAGTATGAACAAGGTAAGATGCTCTCACTTGTGTCTTCTTTACGGTACCATGATGTTTAATGGGTACACAGTGTCTTTCTATGTTGTGAGGAGATTACTTCTCTTGCCCAAAGCATTCCAGAGGTTTGAGAATTGTGTGACCTGAAAAAGCAATGCTTGCAGTCTAAGGTCACAGGAGCTGGTGGCCACTCTATGGTGGTACCGTCTTCTGGAGGTGTCATTTGTGCTTGCCCGTGCTTGGCCTCTAAGTTGCAAAATATTGGTTATTAGTATTATTGTCTTGACATGAATATTGGAAGATTGAGACTCTGGAACGAAACTACCTGGGTTTAAATATCAGCTCTTTCAGAGGGTAGCTTCAGTGACCTTGGAAAAATGTTATGGTTTTCTGTGCCTCAGTTTCCCCATCTGTAAAATGTTGGTGATAATGGCCCCTGTCTCCCTGTAGTATGTATGAAATGAGTTCATGTGTGCACCAGTGCTTAATATATGTGCCTGTACTCATTGCACGCATTTGATTAAATATTTGCTGTTTGAACCATGTTTTTATTGGGACACTGTTATCCCTTAGTCATTGTTGCTAAAGAATCTTCAGTGCCTCTGCAACATTTCCATGTATTCCCTGATTGGCTCGGCAGGCAGTGATTGATTACCAGGTGGGCACGCTGGAGGCGAACGCTGAATGGGGTCTTCAGCGGGTGACAGATCATTTGGGGGTAGTGAGGCTGGTGTTCTAATGCAGCACGTACCAGAAGCTCTGGAAGTTCAGGAGAAGGCACATCTGACTCTCAGGGACCTGGAAAGGACAGTATGGAGGAAGTGACATTCTGAATTGGATCCTGGGTGATAAATAATCCTTTCTTTGGACTTAGAAGTAGGGCAGGTAAAGGAAACAGCCTGTTTAGGGTCAGAAGCACATGAGAAAGTCTGGCATGTTTAGAGAATGACAAGGAGGGCATAATGTCTCAGCCTCAACACTGCGGTCATTGGGACCAGGGAATTCTCTGTATCCTGCATGGGAGGACGCATCCCCCTCTCCTGATGTCAGTTGTGATAACCAAGTGTCCCCCTTGCGGGGACAAAAATAGCCCCGGTGGAAGATGGCAAATAGGAGCTGGAGAAGGAGGGAAGGGTCCCGTTCTGAGAGTGACTGAAGGATTTAATTCAGGGAGAGACATTTCGGAGGCCTGCAAAAGAAGGCCACCTTATCTTACCACCTTATCTCTGGGTTGTGGCAGAGTTGGACAGTGCTTTCACATGATTTGCTCTTACAAAGAAAGGTATTAGGGAATCCCTAGGCTTTTAGAAAGCACATTTACCTTATTGAGATTCTGTTACTAAGTGCCCCTTTCCAGGGGAAATTTTCCTCCTAGCCAGTTGTTTGGCCCACTCAGTGTCTGCTGCTTTACTCCATCTGAAGAGACCAGGAAAAAATAAGCAATTATTTTTTTCCAGAGGTTTCCATTTAACTGAGCCAAGGCAAAGAGAAGGAAGCCTTATGTTGACACGGCCCTCCCCGGCTTAAATACTTACTTTAAGCAGTCTTTGAGGAATGAGCTATTGGAATTCTGGAAGATTATGATTGGAGGTTGCGAATGAGAGGAGATTCATCATTGTGGCCATTGCAAACCACAGCTTGTGCTAGAGTCTGGTATACTGAAGAATTAAGACAACTCTTGGAAAGGCTCTGATTAGCAAGCACGATGTAGTAGGACAGCCCTGCCCTACATTTCTCCAGGGCAACTCAAGACTTGATGTCATGGTTTGGCTCTTGACACACAGCTGGGAACCAGACTCCTTAGACATTTCAAGTGTCTCAGTAGGTGTGTCTGTGGCTTGGGAAGTTATGTTCTGCCCGAGTGGCCCAGCAAGTACGTTATTTTATATTACAGCACTTTAATTTAAAGTGGTGATTAAGCATGGTGTGTAAGCATCACAGGTCAGCATTTTTCCTTATGGTTTTCTTGGCATTCAACAAAGACTAGGGAAGGAAACAGATCTTCTTGGCACAAATAAAACTAGAGAATCATCTCAGGAATTAGAGAATGTAAGTTAGAATGTAGGAAATATTTTTTGTGGGTGTGATTGGTTTTCTAGGGAGATTTGTTCCTAGAAAGTTAGAGACCTTTGCCGAAACCGGTTTGGCTCAGTGGATAGAGCCTTCAGTCGGCCTGCGGACTGAAGGGTCCTGGGTTCGATTCTGGTCAAGGTCACGTACCTTGGTTGCGGGCACATCCCCAGTGGGGGAGGGGGGAGTGGGAGGCAGCTGGTTGATGCATCTCTCTCATAGACATTTCTAACTCTCTGTCCCTCTCAATTCCTCTCTGTGTAAAATCAATAAAATATATATATTAAAAAAAAGATTTAAAAAAGAAAGAAAATTAGAGACCTTCGAAGTGTGCACTTTCCACTTCCCTGGAGCTATACCGTAATAACTCTCCTTCTTTCCCAAACCCCAGCTAGCTGATGGAACAGACACTTCAGTTAGGGAGGTGTCGGGATGGGGATTGGTCGCAGCGTTCTGGGGGTCAGTGCGATTCCTGTGAAAGTGACAGGGCACCTTGGATCCCATGCATTGACCGCTCCCTTTGGGGTCAATCAAAGACGACATCCCTAAAACACATAGGCATGGCCCCCATGGCACAAGGGGTTGGCAGTTGGACTCCTTTCACAGGGCTAACCTGACAGCCAGTGAACAGCTGCCCTTGAACGTCTGTCTTTGCGGGGGTCTGAGAACACACCTGGAGGGGCTGCAGCTTCGGCCCTCAGACACCGGCATGCCGGTGCCTGTGTGCTGGCAGAGAACAGAGTGAGGGCATCCCCCGGGCGAGTGCTTCGCAGGAGTCCTGTGTCCTCCCCTAAGGCCAGAGTACATGGCACATGTCCGTCTGATTTCCAACAAACACATAAGGTTTATACAGAGTAGATGCTTTCCTGGTTATTCACCTTTTTAATATTGTGAGCAGACTTTAAGGGCTGTACAGTGTGGGCTTTGTGTTCTAGCCTTACATGTTAGAGAAATTGTAGTGCACAAATTTTTCCTGGGAGCTCCTTCTCCCTGGCCCTTATGCAGACTTGAAGACCATCTTTCCAACTTCCATACTCTCCTTAGGTCTGTTTTTCAGGAGCTGACGTTCCAATCTTCACATGGATTAAGAACTTTTATCATCAGGACATAACTTTAAATTTTGTCAAAAGTCTTCATCTTTCTTGGTCATTCTTTTGTTAATATGTATAAATATATTACATTATAGATGTAATATATTGTGAATTTTTACTAGTAAGAAGGATTGTTTGGAGTTTGTTATTATGCTGTAAAGAGAGGATTTTAGTGTTACCTTAAAAATCATAGCCAAATGGGCTGAAAACGGCTTGGCTCAGTGGATAGAGCATCAGCCTGCATACTGGAAGGTCCCAGGTTCGATTCCAGTCAAGGGCATGTACTTTGGTTGCGGATACATCCCTGGTGAGGGGTGTGCAAGAGGCAGTTGATCAATGTCTCTCTCATCGATGTTTCTAACTATCCCTCTCCCTTGCTCTCTAAAACATCAATAAAATATATTTTTTTTAAAAATACAAAAAACAAGAAAAAATTATAGCCAAATGGGAGGCAGGTTGGACAAAAAGGGGTTTGGGAGAGGCAAATTGGGCAGGATAAGACACATTCATTACATACCACGATGTAAGCTAACAAACCCACACAAATAGGGACAGGCTTCCTCTCTTGAAAAATCTCTCTTCCTAACAGCAACCTTGGAACTAGGATCCTAAACTCTTTCCCTTGTGGTTCTAGTTTCCATGAAGGCATATCACATGGCATTTTCTACCTTGAATTTATGAGGACACTTCATCTGATTGAAAAAATAATTGATTTTTCTGTTATTACATAGAATGCTTCTCTTCCTCTTCCCACAGTGAAAATGAATCTTCCTGAAAATCGCTTCTATCTTGTTATGTTCAAATAAAGCCAGATCTGATTGTTATTGCTTTGGACAAATGCCATGGCATCAAGTGGAGTAGAGTGGTGTCTCTTATTTCTCTTGATGGGTGGATGCCACTGTTTTGCTTAAAATCTGCCCAACAGAATCTTCTTCTCTGAATAGATTCCAGTATTCAGCACCATATCCTACTGTGCCAGGTTTGAGGCACTTTCATCTTTACACTCAGATCAATATCTCTTCAGTCAACTAAAAAGTAAAACTGAAATTTACTGACTGCCTTCATTTGGAGGTTTTTTTGTTTTTTTTTTTTTGGGTGTTTTGTTGTTGTTGTTGTTGTTTGTGTGTTTTTTTGTTTCTTGTTTTTTTTGTGTGTGTGTGTGTGTTTAAACTTTGCACCTCCTTAATGCAAAGCAGTAAAGCCCAGAACTCATTACCTCTCGCTATCCTGCCCAACATGTAGCCTGTACACAACTCTACTTGACTAAATATCAGCTCCTCCATCACATATCTATCGAGTGCATGCTATGTGCCATGTGAACAGTACAACAGTGAACAAAACAAAGGTCTTTGGCCCTTGGAGCTTCCGTTCTGGCCAGGTGAGAAGAGTCATCAAATCCCAGAGGTTTAATATGAAAATACAAACCTTATGTTAATTTTCCCCCCACATTTTAAACTTCTTTCACTGAAAGAGCTGGTTAATTAAGCTATTGGATGCAGTATAAGGAATTGGTAAAGATTAGACATATATGATCTCTCTCTTCCTCTTCCTAGGATGCGCTTGGTAGTTCTACCAAATGATCAGTCTGCATTTAGTGAGGCAGTACTGTTGTTTTTCTGAAGGCCACAACCAAATCCCCCTTGTGGCAGACTTTGAAGAAATACCACACTCCAAAAACTGTGACAGGGAAGAAAATACAATAAGTATTAAATGATCTTGGAGTAAAGAAGGCCTTGTTAATTTCTGGTGGCAAAAATTATAAAGGAAGAAAATGTATGTAAAACCTGAAATTTTCATCAAAAGACATTCTGAACTATCCTCAAAGACAAAAGACAAAACCAGGACAGTATTTAC